TTCTTCAAGCTTATGCCTCAATGCTGAAGGAATAAGCACATGACAAGATGATCCAAATATTTTTAAATGGGTAATTCCTGGTTTTCTGCCAGTATAAGCTTCAAATGGTGTTATCTTGTTAAGAGCCTTGGTAGGACATCTATTTGGCAAATAGACTGCTGTATTTACAGCTTCTGCCCAAAACTCATAGGGAACACCTTTCTCATGCAACATGGACTTGGCCATTTCCACTACTGTCCTGTTCTTCCTCTCGGCCACTCCATTTTGCTGTGGAGAATATGCCATAGTTAGCTGCCTTTGAATACCAGATTCCTCACAAAACTTGTTGAATTCTCCAGATAGAAACTCTCCACCCCTGTCACTTCTCAAGCCTTTTATCTTATACCCACTTTGCAGCTCAGTCATAGCTTTGAATTTTCTAAAACATTCCAATGCACTTGACTTATTTCTGATGAAGTACACCCATGACATTCTAGTAAAATCATCTGTAAACAGTAGAAAGTACCTGTTTCCAGATAATGATTCTGTTTTCATTGGTCCACAGATGTCTGTGTGAACCAATTCCAAAGGGTTTGAAGCTCTCCAAGTGGATTCCAAAGGGAAAGAATCCCTATGCTGTTTTCCAAGCATACAACCATCACATACAACTGACTTCTGCTCCAAGTGAGGTAAGCCATGAACCATCCCTTGATTCTCAAGCAATTTTATACTTCTTTCATTTAAATGCCCTAGCCTTTTATGCCATGTCTGCAAGCAATGGGTGACACTTGCTTTTAGAACCAACTCACTCGCAGGCATCATTGTCAATGGAAAGCATCTGTTATTTGTCATCTGCACCTTCACAATCAGATTTTCTAGTGACTGATTGTCATAAACACTCACCTCATTTCCTCCAAACACAAGGTGATAGCCATGTTCCATCATTTGCCCAACACTAAGCAGATTTTCTTCAAGGCCAGGTACAAGCATTACTTCATGAATGTGCTTCTTGCCTAACTTAGTTTTTATCACCAAAATCCCTTTTCCAGCAACTGGGACCACTTCTCCAGTTCCCATCTTCACCTTAGAGCTCAAATTCCTTTGAATATTGACCAAAAGTCCCTCATCTCCTGTCATGTGGTTACTACAACCACTGTCAATATACCAAGAGTGATTTACCTTCACATCAGTTGCAGCATTACACACATAAAACAAAGTGCCACAATCTTCCTCCTGATTTGCATAATTCACTCTCTGCACATTCTTGTGTCCATAGCAATCTCTGATCATATGTCCAGGCTTCCCACAACCATGGCATTTAGGTTT